CAGCTGTGGGGGAGACTGCAATAGGCAGGGGAGTGTCCAGCCCACAGTGCCAATGTCAGCTCTACCCACCTCCTTGACTTTGCCAGCCACAGGAAAACTGCCCTCAGTACCCTGTGGTGTCACCTGGGACCATGTTAACAGCATAGTAACTCCTCTGGTTATCACACAGGGTCTTGCAGCCCACCAGCAGGGATTTATTGATACCATCACCATTCTCAGGGCTTAGTCACTGAATTCTGAAACCTGGGGCTTGACACCTCCTTTCCCTGGGGATACTGGCTAGTCCAGGTATCACTGGGGTTGTAGTTGCAGAGGTCTGGGACAGCCACTGCCCCCAGTGCGTCCCAGGGACAGACATCCACACTCACATCTGAAACAGAGGGCAGTGGAACTGTGAAAAAGACTGGTATAGCTGAGCTTGCAGGTGCTGGGTGTTGGCAACTGCTGCTGCATTTTCTGTAGCACTTGAGCTTTGCCAAGTGCTTTGCAGAGCACTTTGGGCAGGTGAGAAATCAGTTTCAGAGCTATCCACAAGCCTTTTTTAGCTGAGAAAGGAGATGTGAGAAACTGGCTTTGAGTGGTGCAAATAAATGGTCTCATCCTTAATGTGCCTGGAAATGGTTTCCTGGATGAGCTGCTCCATCAACTTCCCACGAATAAAGGTTTAATCTTCTTGGAGAAAATAGAGTAAAATATAAAAGCCCTTTCTATAACAAGAAATAGCAAGTATATGGCTTGTTGCTGCTTCTAGACCACAAGTGGACAACAGAAGATAAGAATGACAGGTCGGCAAGGATGTGTTAAGGCTTTCTGCTGGAAAGCAGATGATCTTATGCAACCCAGTTTTTCAGCACCACTTCCCCCTGAAATGCTACAGTTACCAATAAAATTACCAAACTGTAATTCATTGGCTCAGGTTTGATTTGGGCTTTTTCTCTCTAGGCTACAAATCTTATTATGCTATCCTGTTTAAAGTTGTGAGATTATTTGCATCCGCTGCCAAGATTTAATTAAATGATTGCCTAGAGGGGTGGACATTACCAGCAGTTCATTCAATGGTTTTAACAAAATGTAGGAAGATGCAGTACCATGTGATTTTCTTTTTCTTTGCCCTAATGCTTTGATGTATTGAACAAGACAAGTGGACATTGTGGAACTTCATGTGAATATTTAATACAGTCTTCCAGTAAACAATAAATGATAGTGATTGATACATGAGAAATGGCCATGTGTGCTGTGCATCTCTTCAAAGCACTTTGAGTTCAGATTAAAACCAAATCTCATTCTTGCATTAAGCACTTCAATTGCTTTTAAAAATTCATCAACAAGACACAAATGTTGTAGAGGTATATCCTTTCTTATTTTTTTGGTCACTTGATCCATTGTCAGCCTTGGATCACCTTCCATAAAGTTTCAGTGATGCAACAAGTAGGGGCTTTTTAGCCCAGTAATTTTCAGTAAGGCTTTCAATTAAAATCCATAAGGAATTTTCTTACCTATTAAATGCTCATTAAGTAAATTAAGATGAAAAGTAGTTGGACATAGCAGTAATAAATACCATATTTTAAACAGTTTAATTGAACTACTTAGACTCTAGCTAATAATGATTAGATGGATACAGAAAGGATGACACTGAAGCAACTGCAACTCCTAGAGCTAGAAAAGGCAGGCATGACAGTAGCCCCAGTATATTAAAGCAGTGCTGCTTAGCCTTTCTTTCAGTCCAGGAAAAAGAGGGAAAAAAACCCAAACCCATTCCAAACTATACTGTGCAATGTTACCACAGTTGCTTTCTTTAACAACCAAATAAATGAATCTTCAAATTTAGAGCAAGTTTTACTGTATTTGCTGCTGTGTGTGTGTCCCCATTATTTTCTGTCTGTTTACAGAAGTGTAGGATTTCATAGCTTTATTTCCAGTACCTTACAAAAAAAAAAATATATATATATATTTATGTATAAGGGCAGGAATGGTGTATTGAGGAAAAGCATTTTAAACATTCCACTAGAAATGAACCAATTAATTAATATATGGAATGTACCACCCCAGTTCAGACTGGCTATGAAAAATTTTCTGAAACTAACAGCAAACATTGACTAAGGAAATGGAAAGTTCTAACAGGAAAAGTTCAAAAATAAAACTAAAGGAAAAAGAAATGAACTTGGTTTCTGATAGAGGATGGGAACTTAGCAATGGATCAACTTGGGATTACATAGAGGATGCAGTCTTTTGTTCCATGTAGTATAATTTTAGCTTCTTGACATTATTTCAGCAGGTTCCAGTCTTTTTTCTTCTTTCATAAAAAGAATACTCTTTTTATGAGACCAAATGTTTACTAACTTTTGTTCTTTTACAGTATGATTTGATTATAGTAATTCTGTTGTTTATTCACCACATACTGCTCTGCTTCTACAGGTTTTCAAGCAGAGCTCAGATAAAAGAGTATTTTTATCTCTAATTGAATGTGAGGTAAAATATCCCAAGATCTCCCAGATCCCTTACCTGCTGTGCCATGGCAGCTCTCTGCCCTTACATCCCCTTCTCACCTTTGGAGGAGGACTGGTCCGTGCTGGGGCTGCTGCCTTCCCCCACCGTACCCACAGAGGACGTGGGGCAGCCTCTCCCCACACTGGAGCTGTCACAGCCCTGCATGAGCCAAAGGCAGTGCCACCAGAGGTGTCCTGCAGCCCGAGCCTCAGCCACTGATGGCCTCTGAGAAATGCTCACAGAGGTCTCCCTAACAAACACGTTCAGAAGGTCCAGTCCTGCTTACAGTATTAGATGACTCGGGGGTATCTCACGTCTCTTGAGTTGCAAGAATTTTAAAACAAAACTATTTCTGACAACATAACTTTATGAAACTTTTTGCCTTTCTTTGTCATGGGACATCATCAGCTTCTGCTACATTTATGATGCCAAGAATCTGGAAAAAGAAAATTGAATGGGCTGATGGGTTTAAGCAGCATTGCACATTTAAGGTTTGCTTCTGTGCTTTACTTGCAGACACCGTGGCTGTGTGCTTTTAAAGTATTTTAAAATGCATCAAAAGTGGTTATTTTCTTTTTATTTGAATGAGACGATCTTTAATCTGTAGTTACATATGCATTGGTAAGGAATGCTTATCATCTTTCCATATTTTGGAAGAGGCTGAAATCAGCAGCAGCCCCTCTCTTGGCAGCCCAGAGCTCAGGTGCCATGCTCCAGGGCTGAAAGATCAGCTGGAAAAATGTGCTCAGTGTCTGCATAATATTTGCTTCTTAACATTACATTTAAATTCAAGGACAAGTATTTAGGTAATTACTGACATCCCTTATGAAAGCACAAACCAAAATGACAAAATGTGTATGATCAGGCAGTGCTACAAATTTTTTTTTGTAGCAAAGAATTTTTTGTTGTAATTTAGTTTTTTTGTGTTTTTTTACAAGTACATAAGCTTGCTTGAAGCCAAGAGAATACAATTTGCACAAACAAGGAAAAAAATACAGTTAAGTGAATATACACACTCACCTCTTTCCAAGTCCAGATGAAAATACAAGCCTAGCTGTAGAATGTGCATGTAACACTGTTTGCAACCTTTTCCCTATTCTGGAACTTATAATTTAAATTATGACTCACTGGACATGACTATGAAGTACCTGTTTGCCTCCTGCTGTTGTCATTACAGGAAGGACCTTAAAATTCCTTTTGGTTTGTCTTATGACAAAAATTTTCATGACAAAAAATCCCCTCAGCACGGCATCTGCAAAACATATTCTTTCATGAGCTGCAATAAGGCAATCCAAGTACCGATCAACTTGTAAGAATATTCAATGACATTGTACAACTACAATGATCTGTAGCTCAGTAACAGCAAAACATCAATAATTTAAGAATTATTTTTTATTTGAAGCTCTCTGGCAATATTCCTGTGATTAATGAGGGAGAGGAGAACATGCTTGCTCCATGTTATATTAGTAATGGCCATTGGTACTATGAACTCTCTTTGGATTTAACAGAACAGTAGTTCTTGGGGTTTGAGAATTTACTCAGATTCAGAAATTCCGTGTCTGTTTCAGATGAAACAGAATCCATTAGTAACTGAGCCATCCACTAAACACATTATTTTTTTTTTTTGTAACTAGTTTGTTAGGCAACAAACTAAATTGTGAAGAGTTTGTTTCTTTGTTTAATAATGTCATCTACTGAAAAATGTGATCTTTACAATTTCTGCTTGTTCATGCATCAGGTACTGTCACACCATGCATGCACAGGACTGTCACACCAACCCACTGTCCACAGGAACTGTTCATGGACAATTTACCCCAGGAAACAACCAGAAGTCCCCATGGTTCTAGTCTGCAATAAACAAAGGCTGGAGTCCAACTGCAGCAGTCCCGATGTTTCTGAGCAGAACCCCCATGAGTAAAATGGCTTCTACCATTATCACACCCACTAATTTCAGCTGACACTCGTCAGGCAGGTTCAGAACCTGGTTTTGAACAAGGCCCAGTGTCAGCTCAGCACCACAGCCCCTCTAGGCATGGACCTGTCCCTGGCTCCTTGGGGGTACCACTTGAGCACAGGCTCCCCTGGACCAGGGCTGGATTTCTGTGAAAGCCCATATTTTCAGATGGTTGCAATTATTCATCATTTCCCAGACTAAATAATGGCCATTTTTATCAACAAAAGGTGAATAAAGGCCCCTTAGGTAGGATGCATTATTTTTTATTAAGTGTTGAATTAATCAAGCTGTTGACCCAATGGGATACCATAAGCTTAAATTTAAGCAAATGTTCAAATGCTTTACTAGAAACAGAGAGAGAGAGAAAGAGAAGTGTCTGACGTCTTGACAGATCCCGCTTTAAATGAAAATTAATGTTTTGTTCTAACTTGAGACAATTCACTTCTCATTCTGAGAACTGCATCTATCCAAGACGGCAGTTCTTACACAGCCATTCAGAACTGGTGGTTATTTCCAGCCCTAGGAAAAAGGCACACAGCTGAACTGCCCGCCAGAAAACAAAATCTAGTTTAACATAATCATAATAGTGATGAACTTCATTGAAGAAAGTGAAACAAGGACGTAAGATTTACTCTTGGAATGATTCTGATTTAAATTAAGGATTAATAAATTTCATTAATTAAGTGCTTAATAGAAATCTATCTGATGTTGATAAATTGTTTGTTACATTTGCCATGTGTACAAATTTGCTGTGATTTATGGCTCATTAAATTGATTTCTTTGTAATTTCCCCCCTCTTCCCAATCACCCTAACCATATTTCTCCTATTGCAGCAGCCATAGTTTTATTGTGCCTGTTATGATACTTTGCTGTCACCGAAGATAATTATTCAGTTGTTTGCATGAAAAGAAACAAAAATATAGAGGGAGCTGAGGGAAACATGTTAGTTCTACTGTTGTCATATGCTAAAAAACTTACAGTATGAAAAATAGAGCTTCTTGTTTATTAACATCCTGAATTTAACTACCATGTTCATAACGTGCTTTGAAAACATCTGGGGCAGTTTTTCTTCAAAACAAAACAAAAACACCCCGGTCCTAACAGATTTAAGTAAGAAGCACAGTCTTAAAAAACAAAAAGGAAAAAACCCCACACAGGATGATGGTTACTTGAAGGCATGGTGAAAGTGAGGCAATGTTACAGAATTTGTAGTGGATGGAAAGGAGCGAGGAAGATGGTGCAGCTGGTTTATGGCCATCCCACCAGCTGCCAGCTGAAGACCTTGCTGCTGGCCAAGGCCATTCAGCCTGTGTGATGGCTCCTCTGAGCCAAACGCCATTGTGATGTCCCCAATAGTGTTCTGGTTGTCACCTGGTGGGAGCTGCCAGAAGCCCATCAAATGAGTGAGATCCATGAAAGGCAGGCTTGCAGGTTCAGCTGCTGCCTCTGTCTCTTTGTGCACTGGGTACTTGTTAGTATCCCCTACAGGCCCTGAGGAAGCTTCTTCCATACTGATTTTGTGAAGAGACTGAGGTTCTGGTAACGGCAGGTCCTCAAGAAGATGCACATTGTAACCTTTAACATCCACTTTTATTGGCAGATTCTTGAGGGCTCCTGCGGCAAATGAGGTAGAACTAAGGTCGTATTTGTTAGGCTGATGAAGGTTCAGGTTGATAGGGACAGCTGCTGAACATGGTGCGGGAGGGACAGCCGGGAGGCTGTCTGCACAGCCCATCCTTTGCAAGTGAGGAGAAGACTCAAGAGGAAGAGCAGTTTGTAAGCTTGACTGGGAATGAAGATGTGAACAGTTGTATTCCTCTGTTTCTGAACTATTCACAATCCCATTTGGCACAGGGACCCTTTCAGGAAGAGGGGACAGCATGCTGGCATCTTCCTTCAGTCTGTATGAAAAGAGTTGGTCAAGGAGACCCACTGAGTCACCGTTCTGCAACCTGCTCTTCAGCAGTTCTTGCGGATGAGTCTTCCTAGTATGGCGTGTCAAGTGGTCCTTCCGCCCGAACCTCTGGGCACAGAACTGGCACAGGAAGTCCTTGCAGCCTGTGTGAACCACCATGTGGCGTCGCACATCCTTGCGGGTATAGAAGTGACGCTCGCAGTGGTCACACTTATGTTTCTTTTCCTTCATGTTGCCAGTCGGCTTCCCTGCATGACTTTTGAGGTGCTCCAACAGAACCTCGGTACCACCAAACTCTTGGGCACACACCCTACAGGTGAGGTCCCCGCTGGTGGCAGCATGAAGAGCCAAGTGTCTCTTGTAGCCTAGCTTGGTGTTGTACTTCTTGCCACACTCTTCACACTTGAAGGCCATCTTGTTGGGGTCATGAGTCTGAAGGTGATTCTTTAGATGGTCTTTCCTGTGAAAGGTCTTTTCACAGTAGCCACACTGGTGAGATTTCTGTGGAGAATGAGTGGCCGAATGCCTAAGAGAAAAGAAACAAAACACAGACACAAAAAAAGTTATTTGTGTTCACATTTATTCTAGTACATTTACTCTTGTAGCCTCAAAACTTGAAAACACTGGAATTCTCAAAGGAAGGCATTTTCACAGCTTATCAGGTTATTAGTAAATCCTACATTTTGGGGAGGGGGAGGAAGGTGTTAATCATAAAGCATAGAGTAGCTTAAAAGGGAGACTAGTCTTCTCCAATTCTACCAAAAACAGTAATAATAAAAACTGAACCTCAGGGATTAACTGTCACTAGAACGCCCCAAAGGAAAAAGATGTCTTCCCCCCCCCCCCCCACCCCCAGTCAAAAAAGAATGCCTTCAGAGCTGTACCTGAGCAGTTTATATTTGGAAATGAAGGCTTTTGTGCATCCGTGCTGGGAACACTTGTAGGGACGCTCCCCTTTGTGCACATAAGTGTGGACTGTGAGTTTGTCAATGGAATCAAAGATCTTCCCACAGAGTCGGCAGGGAAAACTATCTGGCTGCTTCACTTCTTTTCCCTTCAGCAGTGAAGACCGACCATTTCTCCATTTAGGAATAAACCTTACGAGAGCACCACAAGTGCTTCCTGAGCTGGCACAGCTGAACTTTGCAGCAGAGGAACAGGAAATGGTCCCAAAGCATTGAGTAATGCTTTTGCCTAATGATGCTCCTCTCAGTTTCCCTTTGAGCTTGTTTTTTGCTTTTACAGGTCCCAATTTATTTGGTGGTCTGAACCTTGTAGGAAGGGCTCGGTCCTTATGGATGCACTGGTGAGATTCCAGCAGAGCAAAACTTGCAAAAGTGCTTCCACAGCTGGAGCATATCCAAGAGTCTACAGGCTCTTTCTGCAATGAGAACAGAGACAGGTCTTTCTTACTAAACATTCTAAGCAAGGGTCATATTCTTCTCACTCATCTTCTCCTGTGCTTTTCTAAGACCCATCATTGTCTCTGGTGGTATTTACTTCCATGTCCTACCACCTAGGTGTTCAACTGGCAATAAATTCTCTCTAGGAGTAAAACCTCGAAGGTAAGGTAAGGTTGGCTAAATACTGGTTTATATGGTTTTGTTTAGCATTTACTGTAACAGTCCTGAGTTCTTCACCTTTGTTTATCTGTGCTTACTCAATTTCAAAGTCTCTACATTTGTTGCATTTATGAAATTACTCATAAACAGTTGTAAATTGTACTTTTATCCATGGACTGACATAGTTTATCTGCTATTCCAGCCACACAAAAATAGAATGGGTTTCTGTACAAAAATATAGTTTAGCCATACAGATTTCCTTGTGTCTTGGGCTGACTCCATGTTTTACCACATAGCAATGGCCAATGGCTCCAGGAGAGGCTTCCTCACTTAGTTTGACATTTAGCATTAGACTTCCATTAACTGGATAAGAAACACCTTAGGTTTAGGGATCTCAAGCCTATCCTGACTTAAAGCCTGTTTCTGTTTTGTTTTTTTCAGACACAGTATTATTTGGAAGTATTACTTCCATGGAAATAAGAGCTCATCTGGATTCAGTTGAATTCACTTTAAATACTGATATTATAAAAATTCCAATGAAAAACAATTACCAAAAAACTCCTATCACTGATGAAAAATACTTCCAATTAATTCATGACCATGTACCTCCTCAACTTCATCTACCTTTTCTGTAAATTTCTCATAAACTGTCCTTCTTTTCCCTTGCTCTTGGGCTAGCTTGCTCTGGAGAGCACGGTGAGGGTGTATCCAATCCCTCTTTATTTCCAAACTGAGCCCTCCTCTCTGCTAAGACTCGTGCCTGATGCTGTGGCTCTCCCTCACCTTCCTTCTGGGGAGTATTCTGAACACCTTACAAACCTTCTTGGAACATGAATTCCTGGTTCATTTGTATTCCTGGTTCATTTGTTTCACATTCTTTCTAGATTAAGTATTGATTTTCACAGCCATGTTTTCAACACTTAACAAACTTCTCCTATCAGTTTAAGGATTTCTGCTATGATACAGAGGGGAAGGTATTTGAATTAGTAGAGAAGGGTTACTGAACAGGAAAGACTGAAATAATTAGTGGGTACTCTGGCCAATCAGTCAGAGCAAAAGAATGAGAAATGGTGAAAAAAACTCTGAGGCTTGACAGCTTGGTTATCCAAAAATTAGTGCCCATCTTAAGTCTTTCCAATACATCAAGTGGTGCCACTTCTGACTGTATCTGATGGCTCCATCGGATTACAAACACAGGACAGGAAGAACAGCCTTTCTCTAGGTAGCTGCTTGGCTAAAATTGCTAAAAGCACTCTGTGGCCTACACTTACATTACTAGAGTTATACAAACAGAGAAAACATGTAAATAAACCATAATTTACTATGTCTAGTGGTGGCTTCAATTCAGAGTAGAAGTACTTACTGCTACTGGAGGCAAAGGAGAGACATCTGATTCTTCTTTAATGAAGACTGCAGAAGCTTCCATAAATTTGGCATAATCGGCAGCATACCATACTTTCAATTCTGTGTGGGGTTCAATTGGCTGTGAATGGAAAAAAACAGCACATGTTTACTTGTGTCAATTTTCCTAAACCAAACAATAAGAAAAACAGGAGGGGCAGGGGTGTGCAGTGTTTTGTCCTTATCCAAACTGCATTTTTGACTCTGTTTAAATTATTGGTAACTTAGTTTCAAGATTCAAGCACTTTTTGAGCATTACAGCCTGCTTTCTTGATTGACATTTTCTGTTTCTAAAAGTGGAATTGTGTATGCACAGAGTTTTGAGGCAGGGGGCCCTGTAGCAGGAGGGATGCCTCAATGCTCATAACCTTTGCTCAGTGAGATACATTTGCCTGTGATGTTGAGACATCCATCAGTCTTCCCAAGCAGTATCCCATGCCCATTCCTTGATGTCTGGAAGCCCTCTGGACACAACACTTAACTACAGGCAAAGGAAAAATGCCTTGTGAATGCACAAGATGTTGGATGCCTCCGGGATATGTTAGGCTGAGCATGGGTGAAGAGCTGATCAATATGTGCACTGCAAGGCAAATTGGCACCTTCCCCGGGCTGGCTCTGATGTGCCTGGCTTGCTGTGAGCGTGCTGTACTGTAACTCTGCCCTCCTTCCACTGAAGCCTTCCCCCACAGGATTAAAGGAGCCCATAATCTGCAGTCTCCCATCCAGTCATGCTTGCCCAAATCTCTCCTTGGACTGGACTATGACCTCTTCTGACAAATACTTTCAGTCAATAATATAGCAGAGAGAAAAGGAGAGGCATGATTACACTCACTGGCTAAAGATCTATTAGTTCTTTAAATGCAAAGGAGAAAGCTAAACTTTGGGGTCATGATTTATATGACTCCCTGTACACAATTTTCTGCATCTATAATAAACACCAACATTGCTGCAACAAGGGTAGAGCCAAAACTACTGACTGTACTTGTAGTTTTATTTTAACTAAGATAAACACGTGCCACCAAAAAAAAAAAAAAAAAAAGCAAACTAGCCTAGAAAGAGAGCAGCTGAGTCTTATTCCAGAAAACATGACATCATAAAATCCCCTTATTCTGTAATACTGGTGTGGGATTAGCATGGTAGGGAAAAGACAATGTAGATTGTGAATGCAGACAGGTGAGGGGTTAATTGTAGGTTTAATGCTGAAAACTGAATTTTGTATTCCTAGACACAAGCCTGCCTGCCAACTACAACCAGTGTGGGTTGGGTGTATATTTTAGTAACACCTGGCCTAAACAGAAATGGTCTGTCCAGAATTCTCCACTCAATTAAGGACATGAGGCAGAGCCATTAAGGAGGAGGCTCATCATTGTGAGACAAAATGTTTAAGGATATCTGGGAGCTTGGCTTGTGACAGCTGAGACTGATACCCACAAAAAAACTGCACAGCATGACACTGTCACTGCTTTCTGCCCAGCATTCCTAGACCAGCAGCCATTTCCTTAATGGAAAGCTGAGAGCTGGTCAATGTGACTTTGAAGGGAGAGCTAGTGCATCAGTGTGTGAAACAGTCAAGTAATTCAAAAGCTCTAATCTCAGTAAAACTGACATTAAATATTTCCACTACAAGTTGCCTTACTCTGTGCCACCAGTGACAATAAGAGAACTGCAGTGCACACATGAGACTCTCCTGGGATCAGACCAAGAGCAATCATAGATTATTTTTATTTCCCCACAGTTCCATATCTTTTAAAGCATTTATTTCTAAGGATTACAGTGATTAGGTCAGAAAGTAAGCTAATGGTGGTGTCAGAATGCCACTTACACATCTGCTTTAGTAGCTGAAATCTCATTCCTTTGTAAAATAGTGGGGAAAGGAGCCAATCCTACTCCTATCTTAATCTACTTTACTAAAAATGTTTTGAGAAAGTATCTTCAGAATGAGCCCTAAGCCAGCCTCACAGCATGACCAGCAGGGTGTGCCTAAGTGTAGCACAAGGCCATCACATTCACTGACCAGGACAAAATCTGCTGGATGCCACAGCACCCTGAATGATACCGGGACTTGGGAGAAATAAAACCCAAATAATGCCCTATGACCCACAGCACAGCAAAGGTTCCACATGCATCATCCTAGGACACTCTTTGTGTCAGTGTACAGGATGCAACTCCCCATTAATGCCAATATGCAGAGTTCTGCTGAAGTCAGCAGAGAGCTGGTTCAATAGAATTTAAATTATTCTGGAAATTTTAAGTTACTAGTTTATAACAACTACTTCTTGGAAAAGTTCATGCTTCCCAAATACAGTATTAGTAATCCTGTCAATTTTACAAGCATATAATGCATTTCAAATCAAGCAGAAATCTCAAATAATATGGACTGCATGAGAATCTCAAACACAACCTAAATATGTCTCAGGGTAGTATATCTATTTTATATTTTTCTTTTTTTTCTTAATAATTATGTTGATATTAATTTTAGAATCAACTATGCTCCATACTGTTATAAAAGACTTCAAGGTATGAAATGGTATTCTCTCATCACCACTATACAGTAAATATTTTTCTCACTGTGTAGGTGGAGGAACAAAAATAGAATAAAAAATGTAAATACTACTATGCCACAGAAATATGTGCCAATCTTGGATATGGAACTGAAACACTGGATTTTAATTCATAGTAACTACTTTTCACTAATATTAGTTTCTTTTTTAATTTTTATGTTGCTCACAATGATATACAAGCATTATGTTCAACAGATAGATTTCTTTTTCCCAAGTGTGCAAAAGAGTTATTTCTGATTAAAACCAACTCTGCCTAAGAAAATGGCCAAAACAATAAAAACCAAGACTGTATGTTCTAGTCTCATTTATAAACACAGAGTACCTTGTTCTCTCTTTTCAGACAAAGATGCAGTTCAGAATCTCTTACATAAACTGATCATTTCATGGCAACATTGCAGTAGCCTAAGTTTTGCAGTTAAGTCTTCAGATTTAATGAGCAAGGAAAATTGTACATGAAGATTCACTCAACACCTTGTTCCTGAGCACAGGGCAATGTGCTCAGAAAACAATGTGTCCAGAAATGTAATAGAGAAAGGAATTTTTTTGTTATTTCCAGAATGAAGTACTGTAGAATGTAATAATGCCAAATAATCCCACTATATACACCTTCCTGGCATTAAAGAGCATTTAGTTTAAACATTATCAGCAGGAATGCTTTTTATCTTCCCTCAGCTCAGTTTCTTCACTACCCACAGCAGCAAGTACACAACACCTTTTCCTGACAAACCCCATACACTGCTTGCTTTACTACAGATTAAATGACATTAAAGGTGGTATGCAAGTAATGATCCAGTTAGCAGAATGGAATCAATCTGTCATTGTAAAAGAGTTAGTCCTTCAGAACCTTTGTCTATAAATTTCCTTTTGGATGGCAGGTGGAGCAATGTAGGTTTAACTACCTTGACTGTTGTGAAGTAGACTTCTCCACAGTGCTGATAAGCCACAAGAGTCTGTTCTTCTTGGTTCCGGGCTAGCCGGACAAACATCATCCAGTTTCCACAGTCCTCATTGGGAGTGTCCAGAAAGTACTTCCCTCCATCTTTCAACACCTGAAACAAAGTGGGGGGAACAGGACAAATATGATAAAACCAAGTCCTGTATAAAGGCACATTAGTTTTCTTTCATTTGCAATCAGTTATCTATCTTGTCTTGGTCATATGTCCCTTGAAATCATCGTTGTTTTGAAATAGATCACTCTTAATGAACACTGAGTGCAAAAGAAAGTGAAGAAAGAATACCTGCTGAGCACCCTGCTACTAAAATAACTGTAGGTCTTTGTATGTATTTTCCATTTATAGTTCATCATTTTTATGTTATATAAAGATAATATTAAGAACTAAGTGCAGGCAGGTAGAAAGATAAGCTTTATGCCTTAATCTACTTCCTGAGCACTCGATAATCTCAAGCCTCAATGCTACCACATTTTGCATGGAACAATTGTATAGCTTGTGTTAACAAGTCCAGAGAGGTAACATGTAACATAATGGCATTTTAACAGTCTTCTCTTTTTCCTCTTAACAATGCAAAAGTAAATACAAATGAACAATTGTGCCAGAATGATCTTTTTCTTTTTCCTTTACTTCATTCTTCCTAGATTCCCCTCCAAGAGAATGCCCCTATGAGGCAAAAACTACCGACCTCAAACAAGACTACTACTTTTCTGCAAAAATGTCTCAAAAATGGACAGACAAAGCTGCATAACTGATATCAGCACAGTTTGTATTTGTTCTACTAACCACATAACTGAGCAAGTAACTGCAAAAAAAAAGTTGCATTTTCATTGCTTCTGGGAACTATTTTATCTAACTTCATCATGTTTCCGATGAAAGCACCTGCCTGTTGGACAAGTTTGGTCACATACTCATGCTAGGGAGAAGTCAAGGCAGCTACTGCTGTCATGTAGGAAATCTGGGACTCTAATCTCCTCTTCTGAAGAAACAGTCCATTCATCAGCCAGAGCTGTGCTTATCACTGTATACTTTTAAGCAAATGGTGCTGACTGATAGAGGACAGGGTGTGGTTTACAATGGCTTGGTGAAAAGGAAGGAACTGGGTGCTTAGCTCATCCATCCATTGTTAGAGAAGTACATTTTCTGCATTTTTAATAGTGTCTAATCAAAAGACTGAAGATATTTAGTAATAGAGAAGAACAAACCTTTTCTGCTGTTCACATGCTATGAAAATCCCATAGAAGGACAGCGTTATTTTCCTGGCAGATAATTCCCATGATTTCCATGTGCAAATCAAGTTTACAGCAACTACTGAAGTTATTACTACTTTGAAGCTCTCAAACTAAAGTTCAGAAGTATTTCCTCACAACACAGTGTTTTCTAGCCCCAGGCCTCTGGAGAAAGCTCAAATGAAGACACTGAGTGTGTCACAGGACAGCTGCTGCTGGTGCCTCTCTGTTCAGGGGTGAGAGGGCCTGATAGGAACTGCAAACTCTGGAAGAGCCATGATCTGTTGGGAAGTCCTGACACAGGCTGTGGCTTGACCATGGGTTCATTGTATGACACAGAGCTGTGCTCTGCCACGACCCTGACAGCAAAATGCAAAGACTGGGACCCAAAGGACTGCAATCAACCAACTCCCAAGGAATTCCTGTGGGAAAGGATGTCCATGTACATTTGTCTAAGCTGGGCTAGTCCTGAGAGGCCATGATTTCTGCTGGATAAAGTACAAGTAATAGTGTCATGGTCCAGGTGCAACAGTCAATAGTTATGTGTGCAGGAACAGAAGGTACCAGCCCTAAATAACAATCTGATTAAACAAACTGAGGTAGTGCACTGTGCATCAAAGTCTATATATAAATTAACAATTATTACTAATTAATAACAATAGCATTTATAATAATTAAGAAGTGTTTCCCTATCTGTTTCTCCCTACTAAGCCAGTACCTCAGTGCATATTTCTGTCACTCTCACTAACTCAGTGCACAAAATCAAACCTCCCAGTGGTATGGTGCAAAGCACAAATCCTTTTGTGCTACCTGGGAAGAAAGTTCAGTAGCCATGCTCCCTGAAAAGCTTATCAAGAGCTATCAGACTGATAGGCTTAACACCCTAGAAATGGTAAAACTAGAAAGCAGGAAACCAAACTTCTAGAAAACGCAGTATACAGGAACACTTGATTACTTCAGGTTATTCTGTACTGCCTAATAATGTGATTTACACTCATACTTACACATCAAAAGTACAAATAATGAACTAGATCAGATGGCAAATTGACTGATTAAAATACCTAAATAAGTATGAGCTGCTAAAGACACATGCACTCCATAGAAAGGCAGTGGTTTTTACCTGCAGGACTAGTCTGCTCTCATCATAGCAGGTCAGTTTTGTAGACAGTTGACCAACATAAGGGCCAAATTGTGTTCTCTTCTGTATTACTTTCTTTGCAAATACACCAAGGACTGTGAAGAAAACAAAGAGCAGTCTAATATTAGTACAGACATCACAAACTATTTCTTGTATGCTTACAGTTGTGAAAACGGAGACAAAATAGCGCAGAACACATGGATTCTTTTTCTAGACAAATAAACGCACTAAATAATTCTAAGGTGAAGAATCTAAAAAGGATGTAAATAGGTACTGATTTTTTTTAATGGGAACTACATTGAATAAAAAAGTACCAAAAATCCATGACAGGATGTTAAACTGAGTATGCAACACAAATGTGTTGATACTTCTCGATCCACAAACCCACGTTGTCGTAGTTCTCTGCCTTTTGGCATAATTTGGGAGGTTGTTCTCTCCCAATAAGAGTGGAAAGAATCTATAAAAACACAGTATTAGCCTTCTTAATCGTTCTGGTTATTCCACTGCCAGATCAATGGAGTGACAGTGTAGGCATCTTGTCATTCTCTGTCTGAAAAGCAATCTAGGCAGGACTAATTATACACAGGTAGCTGTGGAAAATTTGCACACTAAGAACATCGTTCCTTTGTTCATGTTTGGGCATTTAAACTGCTCTGCTTTCACAAGGAAACAACAGTCTTTCCACAATATGAACTGAAAATGCTGCAAAAGGTAAATTACCCCCCTGTGATCTCTGGAGTTTGCAGGGGGTGGATAAGGGATGTCATTTACCATTTTGTTTCTGACCTTTCATTGAATACTCTTTCCTGTTTTGCATGCTTGGGGAAAAGAGGAAAAAAAGTAGTAATGCATGGTTGTTATTATTAGATACAAATTCAACATTCATTAAACTTGGATTGACTGAACAGAGCTAACTGGTTGTTCACAGCTAAATGTCACACCAGCTCTGGCTAATGTCCTGCCATCAGTTGATGTGTCTGTTACCAGAAACCAGTCACAAAAAACAGTGGCTGACTGTGAGCTTTAGCTGTGCTCAGCTGAAAACAGTCTTCATAATGCAAATGCCCAATGATTATGCCTTGAGTTACTCATGAAAACAGGCCAGTGTCTTTGTCTCCTTTTTTTTCAAATGTGGGAAAAAGAGCTAAAGTACTTACTCTGCTGGTTTCCAGCTCTCAGCTCCAAGACTCGCAGAGTGAGGTAGTGAGGTAGGGTGAGGCGGGCCCGGCTGGGAATGACCCTATCTTTAGCCCTGATGAGTGGTCCGTGGAGTTTGCATTCTCCTATAAGGCTTTTGCCGCAATCCTCACACCCTACAAATCCAGAAAAGGGAACCTGTTACTAAAAATGACCAACTGCTTTCCAATTCTGTCTCTTCTAATTTTGTCATCTTGAGAACACATCTGGAATTACAAATGCTTTTCTTCACATCAGTCTTCTACATTAGGTAGTGAAAAGATTATCTGCAAATCAAAACTAAACAGGGAAGGTTTAAAATAACACCTCCAGTTTCTGCATTCTCTCCTGAGCAAACTGGTGCATCTCGACCTCCAAAGATTTATACATATTCTCATTCAGGTGCTTTTAGAGACTAGGATGGGAGCAAAACTGGACTTCAGTGCCTGCCCAGCTGTAAAGATGAATGTATTTATACAGAAATGTGGACAAAGTTGTTAGCAATAACCTAGGTAAGTTTGGTCCCTTCCAACCTTACCCATTCTGTGACTAAAAAATTCTGAAATTTGCAGAGATTCAAGGAATGCAAGAAAGACTTTGTGTCTGCTGCACTGACCATTCTCAGTAGAAGATGAGACCCTCAGGGTACCATGAGAAATGAGTATGATGGGTCCTACAGCCACAGCTCAGGTGACAATCATGCAGGGGCAGCCTCCTCATAGGCTGCTCTGCCTGTGGAAGCAAGGAAAAGGGGCACACTGCATCTCCCAGCTGTTGGTTCCCAATAATGACATCTGCAGGCTGAACACATGGACCATCCAGAGAACCCGTTAAAGAGAAATACATGTCTGCAAACTGACTTTCCCCCAGCACAGTGAGATATTTTTGGTTCAGTGCAGCTCAAACTGGTTGCCAGGGAAACTCATACAGAGCAGCGACAAAACTGAGCAATGAGACTTTCCAGCAGAAGGTCATCTCAGCACTGGTGTCACACAGGGCGATGGGAAAAAGGGGACTTGTTGCACAAAACCTTTTTATAGACAGTAGAAGCCAAACCAGTGAGCCAACAATGCTTTACGACTGAGTTAAAAAGAAAAGCTGATATTGGTCATCCATGACTACCTCGTTTTGTTTTCCTTCTGAAAACTCTGCTGAGCAAGTCTATTCAGTAAGTGACAATACAGAGCAGAGGAGGGGAGCCAGAACAGCCAGGAGAGCCCAAGGGAGCACTGCAGCAGGAGAGGTGAGGCTTCATCACAGACAGGGATCATAACCAAGGGGCATAAAGGGCTCAGGAGACACTGCCTGGGGAGACATCAGAGATGGTCTTTGAAAAAGGACAGCAGCACCAGAAATGTCATATTCAGGGTACCCCAAAAAGGTTTCTGTTTGTAAATACAAGCAGGCATTTGACTAAATCATGCACCTTGAGAGTCTAGTCCAAAATCTCCCCAGACAAGCCTAAAGTGTTCCTACCTACTGCTTTGGGCTCTCCATCAACTCCAGATGAGGAGATAGATAGACTTGTGTGTTGGTCAGGCTGTGAGCGCTACAATAGTCAGTATTTTTCAATAATTTGTGGACTAATGTGTAATAATAATTTCAATAATAATTTCAAAAATTTGTGGACTAATGTGGAATAATAATTTCAATAGTTTCTTCTTCCATGGCTTCCAGGCTGCACACCTGCACTGTGAATAGCTGAAAAACATTACTTATTTTTGCTACTGCTACAGATAAAGAACATGCCCCCTACAGCCATCACTTAAAATGCACAAAAAGCCCAACATTATAGCTGCCAAATATATTTTTCTTCTTATACATTTGTTTATGTACCCAAAAGCCCTTTACAGCTGCAAGGCTGCAAGAAAATAAAAATATTTCCTTAGTGATTTAACTTAATTAGCTTTTAAATAAATTCACCCTTCTGAGGGCAACAAAATTATGAGGGCTTCCTGAGCTTGCTTGGAATAATAGTGACTTTGTCTCAAGTCAAACAGCTCCTGCTTGGAGAGTCATTGTATGCAAACGGCCGAAACACATTACCAAAAGCAAAATGGAGACAAAGAACCGCTGTTGGAGGAAGGATGTGTCTAATCATAAGTACACGACCTTATCAATCCATGCCATACCTCTGTGATTCATCACTAGCAAGCTCCTGAGCAAACCTTCCAGCTGCCCCAAGGCAGTGCCCACCTCCGAGGCTCCAGGGTGGGCAGCTCCCAGGAAGGCTGGAAAGGGAAAGCAGGGGGGAAAAGGACATCCCTTGAATCAGCTTCTAAATTCTCCATCAGCTAACCCACCTTGGTCCTCCAGATCCAGGACATAAGGTCTGAAATGATTCACACATGGGCAGTAGAGAGGCTCTCCTCTAAATTCAGGAACCGCTTTGCATCTAATGGGGTGTTGAGCAAGGGTCTCCACGCTGAGCAGCCCCACAGACAGCTGCCTAGGCAGCACACCTCAGCAGCAGCAGCAGCAGCAGCAGCACAAAAACATCAGCCAGCCCTGCACCAAACTACCTGCAGAGCTGGAAGCGCTATTAAGCACCTCAATAGCCAGCATGGCCTGGGATTCTGACCGGGCACAGCTGCCCAGCACCTTGAAATATGAGATTAGCTCAGTTGGTTAGAGCATGGTGCCCACAACACCAAGGCTGTGGGTTCAGTCCCTGTACACCTAAGAGTTTGACTTGATCACACTTGTGGGTCCCTTCCAACTCAGAATATTCAGCAATTCTGTGAAATATCCAGAGCTGTCCAACATTTGTTCAAAGGTTTTCTATGTATACAGGTCATGAAGATAACTAGAACGACTTGTTATTAAATAACAAGCATACTGGAATTACATTCACTACACAGCATTTCTCACCCCATACCAACATGATAGTACCCTAACTGCAAATTTATTGTATTCTAAAAATTGCCAGGTGTACCAGAAAAATAGGATTAGAACACTGCAAACAGAATAACTTCAGGAGCTATTGAAGGAAACTAAGATCTTTGTGATTTCTCTCCCCAAAACTAACAGTGCAAAACTGTCAAGTTCACATTCCTTCTCAGAGACAATTACAGGCCAAGTAATGATCCTTTGTGTTTCAATGCTAAATTACAGATGCCATTGACAAAGGAGTGTACATAGAGCCACAGCACAGAGTTTGTAAAGCTCACACAGATTTTATGCCACTTTTTAACTTGGCTAATTAAGTAAAATATATTTTTTCAACAATAGCTTCAGAACACACTCTAACCTGTTCTGAAATAGGGCGCATCCAGCTACGAAACAACATACACGTTGTTGTACTAGCACTAGAAATGAAAAACACTTGGTCAGAAAAATTACTTTCTGCAAAGAAAATTTCTTCTGCTTTTTGCTAGGCACGTTGGTACCTCAACGCTTTTTCAGTTTCCTTGCTCCCTTAAATTGTATTTACACAAATAAAATTAATGGATTCAAGGTCCTGTGCAAACATGCAAGAAAAGTAAAGTAAAACTGCCATTATTCCCCTGCTTTGTTGTGATTTAGATGAGTAGGCAACAAAAAGAAATAAACAAGATTTACAGGAGTTACAAGCTGTTAAAAACCAGACTGTGTCATTTACTACATCCTTAGAAAAACAATGCTATATTGTCCCCTAGAGGGTACTTCTTCATTCTTCCTCTGTCCCCGTAATGATTCTGAAAAAACTCCAAATAACGTCTTTGTATCTATTTGTATATAAAACTGCAGAAGCTAATAGATCTTGCAGTTAAGATTTTTATTTTGCTGGACCACCTGCAGCAGAGGGGAGGCAGGTATACAGAAGAGCCCAGCCCTGGAGCAGGTGCCGGCTCTGACCAGGTTGCAGGAGCGCAGCCACCACCTCAATTGCACAGACAAACCATGGAGGGGCTAAGGGAAGGGTGGGTACACCTCCCCAACACCCCCAGCTGGCACCCCTGCACCTGAATGCCTCTGCTCCCACTTCTCCCACATATTGGGAGGCATGGTTGGCAGCAGCCACCCCCTGGCTTTCCCCTGCTCTTTGGGCCATCACAAAACTGAGACCCGCTGCCCGCAGGATGCGCTCCCACCCTATGAGCTGGCTGGACACTGGTGGCTGTGCTCCCAGAGAGGAGAATGGGCTGTGAGTGTGGCTCACCTGTACCGGCCTCACCATGCTGGTGCTTCGCCCCAGTCCAGGTCTAGTTGACACTTCTCCTTTGCTGCAGCCCCAGCTGCCAGCCTGCCTCGTCCTCCACACAGCTCTGGGGCCACCACGCTGCACTGGGACAAGCTCCCGCAGCCAACAGTAGCCAAGCTGGCACGGCAGCTCGGGCAAGCTGGACTTGAGCACAGTCAACAAACTGGTTTCCAAAACAGCAGCGGGGCTGGAGCACTGTGCCACCCACCCCCAGAGGCACAAGCCCGGCCTCGGGGAGAGCTCATTAGTGTGGGCGAGCAGCCACGGGCTGCGGTTCCACAGAGCCCCGCTGCACAGATAACGGGAGCTATACATAGCCATGCCAGGAACTGCAATCACTGTCCTGACAGCTCACACATGCCACCCGAGCCTCAGCCAGTCAGCAGCAGAACATCGCTTCTTAAACCCAGTTTGCTAAAAACTAGATGCCTATCAGGACCTCCTCCCTGCCTTTTCTCCCACCCCTGCTTTCAAGTGAGACTCTACAGTACCTGAACATTTCAGTGGCCCACAAGATGCCTGCGGTGCAATTACGTCCCCTGTGAAGGCAGAGGTAAATAATTTCTTTTCAGTTGTCCACTTGGAGCAAATGCACCCTGTGAGAAATGATCAGAGGCTGAGCAGACCTTGGCATGTGCTGTGCTGTTTTGCAGCATTAGAATTAGCTCCCATGCGCAGAGGGAACAAAGATCAGTGTACACAAGCAGTTGAAATCCTAGCCTAATTACAATCATAAGATTTGCATAGCAAACAACAGTAATTTATTCCAGAGTAAAACTGTAGCACTCCGTTAGCCTTGTCCAGCCTTTGCAGAGAGGAACGCTGCAAAAACACCTCCTGGATATTTTCTGAAGTACATTGCACAGGCCAGTCTTGGTTCTCTTAGTCAAAGGTGCATGAGGGTTTCCAGCCTGAGGTTTGTTCTGCAGCACTCTGTGCTGGAAAACTTGAAAT